ACCCCCCAAAATCAATGAGGATAGGTGTAGGCCACTGTCAGGTCATACAGTATTCATGTAATGAATAGCTGGGGTGAGGAACTTCTTGAAGAATGCAAAAGTGAAATTAAAAGGAAAAAAACCCAGAGCTGAAAAAGGGGAAAATAAGGATGAGACAAGAGGCAAAAGCTAGCCCTGATTCAAACAAGATGACTTTCATTCAGTCAGAAGAACTTGAGAGCTTGGCTGTGATAGCTAACACGCTCGCTGTTCATCACCAGCCGTGCAACAAAGAGCTGGATTCCATCCATTCCATGACTGATTGATTACCCAACGGACAAATGTTAATTCTTTTCATCGATGCTTTGTCATTGTGAAGAGATCCTTTTCATCTAACACCTAGGGTTTTTTCCCCTCAGCTTTTTTTTTTCCCTGATTATATATATCTTTTAACATCCTCTTATTCACCTTTGCAAAACTGTCATGTCTAACAAGATTCTCACAGTACTTTAAACTCCTTTAGTTTACAATTAAAATTGCTAACTAAGTATGTAACAAACCGTGATATTAAATAATACTCAAAGATTTAATTTACTCATCATAATTATACTTAACCTGTTTGCTGTCCTTGAAGGGGATTTTTTCCTTCACAAGGGAAGAATATAAAGGAAGAGAAGCTGTGTGTTTTTTAATAGAATAAATTGCTCCAGTGCAACTTCACGAGTTTGATCTTACATGTGCCAGTAGAAAATATGCTACTGTGCGGCATAAGCCTGGCTGTGGTTTATAAAGTCAGTGAGAAGAGCTAAAAATGTATAAATGCTAATTTCTTTCATTGCTTCTTTTATAATTGTCTTCAGCAAGAATACCCTTGAATTTTGAAAATGTCGGGATCCACAAGGTTTTGGAATGGTGCTGAAGCAGTGCAGGGAGAGTGATGCAGTGCAGATGTGAATTCGGGCTTCACTGCTCAGTGCTGGATTCCAAGTCGATGTTTTGTTTCTATAATGAATCAAATCAGAAAATGAATCAATATGGATGAAGACATTTTACTGATGTCAGAAGATATCTCTGTAGATTTTATGTGTCTGTAAAAATTACTTTTCAGTACAGAAAGGAGAAAAATCCCTTTCTGATTCACAAACCTTTTCAAAATGTGTGTTTGTGAACACGGAATACAGAACTTGAAGGGAGTAGTGCCTTTCAAGTATAAGCCTTTATATTTAGTTTTGGGTCTAATGTGAAGGACCTCCAGAGGGCTTTAACCATGTATCATTATTTTAAATTTGAAAAATTATGCAGAATAAACATGGTAATTGAAAATATACAGGATTTTCATAATGCGACTTTTACAATAGTATAAAAAAGTTTATTAAAAGGCTCATTGTGTAATCATTTTTGTAATCCTCTCAATAACAAAATACAGTAGCTATAAATTGTGTGGTCAGATCCAGAACACAGAATTTGAATGAGATAGGGGTGCTAAGAGAACTCTTTCTTAAGGAATTTTTCAGTCATTTGTAGAGAAAAATTCTAACTAGCAATGTGATTATATCAAAAAGGCACACAAATAGACCTGTTTTCCAATCTAGCTCTTTCCCAGTCTGTCTTTAGAAATACATTTTTTGTCCTTACATAATATAAGAACACTACAGATAAGCATGGATGTTCTTAGGAACAGTGAGAGAAAAAATAAAACAAGTGCTTTTGAGGAAAGTATTTTATCAATTTCAGTACTATGCTAGTTATTTCTTTTTTTTTTTTCCTTTTTTATTGAACTATTCTTTTTCTTTATATGAATTGAGGAAAGCATCTTATTTAAAAGCAGTAGAATACATAACTTATAGCAAACATCAAAATAAAATTCTAAAGCTTTTTTTTTCAGGGATGAGGGGTCTGAAATTTTGGCAGGGGAGAAACACAGAAACCTCTTTTTAAACTAATCATGATATCACAAAAAAGGACAAATTATAATGTTCTATTGATAATTGATGGTTATTTCTTGATTCTCCTATTATCAGGCCAGAACTCATAAAAGTAATAAGTGCCTGTTATTGTTAAAAGTAAATTGTTATTATATAACTAGTATTTTAACACTGCCTATTGCAACTTACAGCTCCTTAATTTTGTCTCTTTCATAGAAAGATATAATTAGTCAATAAATTAGCTTTTCTGCTGAAATATTACTTCAAAAATATTTATGAGCTGTGTTGTCTTTCCATGGAGGCTTGCATGGTGAAAACGTGTTGCAATTAAAACCTGATCTTTGATCTCCTGGTAGTTACTTTTTGGTTTGCTTTCAATCGGATTTTGTTTTGTTTGGGGTTTTTGTTTGTTTGTTTATGTCAAATGAGTTATACTAATGAATTTTTAGGCTGAAATGACTTGTACCCTAAAATATGATTGGCCATATGACTATTCTCCTCCTTAAACTTCTCCCTAAATCTTTAACTCCTCCTTTTGTGACCTCTTTGAATGTCTCTCCTCCCTCTGAGTATTTTTGGAATTGTCTGAAGTGGAACAAACTGTTACCCGTTGCAATGATATGATCTGCGTTGCCATTCTTAAATCTGGGCAATTTGCTTTTGCTTTCACATGTGTGAGTGCTTCTGCTGGGACTACTGAAATGAGAATTTCAGCTGTGATTTGATCTTAAGCTGCCAGTAATTTAGTGGAAGACTGAATTCTGCCTTCTCGTACAACTCACTGTTAATTCGTGACTGGAGTAGGACCAGTACAAAAATAATTAAAATTTGGAATATTATTAGCTACTTAGCATTGTGGAAATTGGTCTTCTCGAACAAGTGGCCCCTTGCTGTTAGAGTTTCTAGGAAGAGAAGGTGTGTGGCTGTTTCCCAAGGAACACTGTGCTCAGCACTCACACATCACAGGGTGATGTACGGTCTTACAACAAAGCTCTTTGCCACAATTTGGTTTGGGAACAGAGTTACATGTAGGTTTTGATATTTTGCAAACTGGCCCTAAGGGTTTCCAAAGAGTTTCGCACAGACATTTTTGGTGAGTGCCTACAGGTGAAAGCAAGCACACAAAGTTTAATAGAGATTTTATTATTACTAACTGGGAAAGAAAAGTAAGTGTTTGTGAAGTTTTCTTGATAATTGTTTAGAAATCCAATTTGTGTTTCTTGAAAGTCATAAAAACCCACATCACATCAACCACAGAATCACAGAATGGCCTGGGTTGGAAGGGACCTTAAAGATCATTTTATTCCAACTCCCCTCCCATGGGCAGGGAACCTCCCACTATCCCAGGCTGCTCAGAGCCCCATCCAGCCTGGCCTTGAACACTGCCAGGGATGGGGCATCCACAGCTTCTCTGGGCAGCCTGTGCCAGTGCCCTCACAGTAAAGAATTTCCTCCTGACATATACTCTAAACCTAGTGTTTTTTAGTTTAAAGTCATTCCCCCTTGAGCTGTCACTACATTCTCTTGTAAATAGTCTCTCTTTATCTTTCCTGTAGGCTGCCTCCAGGAGAATTTGCAGTCTTGTAGACTCCCTTCATAAGAATTTCTATCTTAAAAATCACCTTTTCTAGGTATCTGCAAGGTTATCTATAATTTAGACATCAGAGCCAATTAGTTTAATTTAGGAACGGAAAAAAACCTTTAGAATTTATTGGAGTCTGTTATGCTGAGTATAAAATTTTGTAGTGGGATTAGGGTCTGATCACAGGAAGCTTACTAGGGCCAATCTTTTACTTTCTTCAAAGTGTAATGACTTCAGTGGCGGTTTTGCCTCCAGAAGGCCTCCCAGGCTGGGGCAAAGCCTTGAAATGCATTCTGAAGTTGACATGACGAAAGCCGATCTTCTAATCATTGCATGTTGTTTATAGCGTACCGAGAAAATTTCTGATACTGTGAATATCGAATATGTAGAGTGCTTTCATGAATTCCATGGAGACTTTATATGAATAACTTTTGCATTGACATGGGTATAAAAATGGGTTTCAGATGTCACTGTGTGCCAAATTTCCAAAAAAAGCTACTAAATCTTCATGTATAATTTCGAGTGTACAATCATTCTCAAATGAAAAAGACAGAATTCGTATATACATTGGCAATCTATGCATGTAAATTGGCAGTTAGCATGCATAAATCCTCAACGAAGTTTTTCTTTCAATTAGACCCTTGTTAAATCCATAGTAACTCCATTAACCCCAGGGGAATTACTTTGGATTTAAAATGCAGTTAAATAAGAACTCTGTTTGGCTGCAAGTTCATTTCCTTTCTAAGCCGTGGTTCGAATGGCATTGGGAGAACAGTGTTAAAATGAAGGTGACACCTGTTTTCCTGTAAGAATATGTTTCATAATTACTTTCTTTTTTTTAATATAGATTCATCCTGTATGGAAAAGCTACTTTCTAAAGACTGGAAGGAGAAGATGGAAAAATTAAACACAAGTGATCTCCTTGGAGAAATTAAAGGTATCTCACTAGATCAAATTTTAAATGCTTGCATATATTTTAAGAAAGGGATGGAGGATTTTTGAAATTTCAGAAAAAAACCAGAAATAGCTGTCATAACTAGAGGGTGCCATTCTTTCCAGGTAACTCAATGTGGTTTTTAATGTTTATCTTTGAAATGACTGATGAGTGTGCAAAAAAAATGGAGTATGTCACAATCAGTTATAGGCAGTATCAGGGATGTTATCACGAAACACCAGGTTAGTTACATTAGTTCACTGACATCAGCCATATATCTCTCAGCAGAGGAAGAGGAAGAAATGCAGAGTTACCAGTACTTGGTACTACTTCTTCCCAGTTGCACAAACTGTGTGTAGAAATAGCTTTCAGATTATAAAGGGTGATAATTGTGCCATTGCTATTCTAAATCTTTGATTCAAAATTGAAGAATAAATTGTTTCTATTAATCCTGTTATGCAGAGAAAGAGCAGGTCTGGATACAATTTGGGTCTTACTGAAATCAGTGCAAAGTTTGTTGTATATGTGGGCAATGATTTCTGGTTTTCTCATTATTTCTTGAGCCAGCATCCTAGGAAAAGTGAAATTCTCTTGACAATTAAGTAGTAGGTAGAAAATTTGAAGTGTTTTTCCCCACCCTTCAATTCTTCCACGCATTTCTTAGTGAGAAGAAATTCAGTGTTATTGATTAAGCAACAAATTTAATGTGTTTTTTTTTGTGCTGTGAGAAGGGGTCATAAGGCATGTTTGAGGAGTACACAAAGTACCCAAGATTTATTTCTCTTTATTTGTATGATTTTGTTAAACTGCAAATAAAAAGGTGTGGAAACAAAAATTAATGTTCATCATATTAATAATTTTTTTCTGTAAAATTATTTAATGTAAAAAAATATATATAGTCTATTTGATGAAAATTGATGCTTAGGGATTTAAATTTCCACTGGGGAAATTCAGGTCTATTCCGTTGTTTTTTTTTTAATACAAGTAGATGAAAGATTGGCTCTTTTTAATAAGTAAGTAATAATTGGTTCCTTCAGGACCAAAAATCTGTTGGATTCTCCTGATTTTTCTGGTAGAATTATGACAATGCATATATGTTAGGTAGGTAAGAAATCCCATAGTAATATCAATGATAGAAATATAGCATACAATTTTGCAGGAACATGTTAAAATTGACTGCAATAAAATAAAAAAATATGTGTTGAAATCACAATCTATTTAAAGCCATATTGTCTCTTAATACTGTGGAAAACATTGAATGCTAGTTGAATTATTATTGTCTATTAATTGCAAAATATAGCTACTTAGTCTTTAAATAGAAACTACTTGAATGCTATTAGCGAATCAAATTTAAAAGAGGTGGCATCTCTAACAATGCAGAATAATGTTCTTTATTCTTTTATATGGCACAAAATGCTTTCTAATGACATCTCATTTATTGAAAAAGAATGGGTTTTTTTTCTGGATTTACATTGTTCCTCCTATTTTCTTAGCATATATGCTCTCTGCAGAGAGTGGGTAGAGTTCTTGCCTCTCATCCTTTTCTCATCTCCCTACAAAGCACTCTCACTCAGAGCTGGAAGAATTCTCAACTACCTTTTCCAGGGGAATAACCTATTAGGAGTGTAAAAAGGATCCTCAGATTAGGCTCAGCAGATTTATGTGTTGCTAGTCCCTCAGTTTGTTTGCACTGCCCATTTCCTGTGTAACCTGTCTTTAAGTTGTCATAATATCTGCAATATTCATCCACGCTGCTCGTTGGCTTCCAGAAAGATGCAATGCTGAATCTTTGCTACTGCAGCTGCATTTAATTTTTTAAAAATAGAACCAACATGGGAGACAAAAAATGGTTGCTGTTATGTTGTGTTTTACACTTCAGATCTCTTTACAAAGGCATTAGTGATGCTTCATAGGAGAAGAGAACTAGATGCAGGGTTGTATAGCATACATACCTGTTCCTGGAGTACGAACAGGTCTGAAGTTGCAATCCTTTCCTTTGGACTCCCAAACCCATGACCTAGCCACTGTCTCCAGGCTGGTAACCTCTGAGCCAATAAAAACACTGTTAACCCAATAGTCTGCTATTAACTCCTATCAGCATTTGTGTACCTTCAATCATGTCAGAAAGGAAGAAAAAAAATCCACAAAAAAATAACAATCTAGCACATGGCAGCATGAAAGCCCAATTGCATGAAGGGAACAAAACAAATGAGGAGAAGCATACTTTAAAATAAATCCTTTTGTTGTTCAAGGTGGTAGATTCCACAATCATGAAGTTCATTTTCATGATGACGATTGAATTGCCAGCAAAGTAATTGGTAGGACATTCTGGGATCTGAAAGAACTACATTTGAAAATCTGTTGCCTTTGGGAGGTCAAATATATTTTTCCTCAATTTCTGTTAGATTCTAAATAATTTTATTGAATTGAACTTGTGCAGAATTTCTGCTCATATTACAGAGAGTCTAACTTAGAGATATGAAGTGATGTGGTAAAAATAAATCAATGAGTTCATTAGAGGGAAAAAAAAAGTTGATTATAAGAAAGGAAGGTGTGGTCCTGTGAGGAGCTGCTCTTTGCACTGACTGTTACTGGGAGTTGTTTATTTTAGAGAGAAGGCGTTGTTCTTGCTAAGGATAACCTGAGCACATATTCTTCCTCTGTGTCTGCACAGCCACAGCCCTCCCCCTTCAGTGAAAGACTAGCATCTTGGTTGTGGGAAGGCAGCTCACTAAGAATCAGTGCCAGAAAAAAGGATGAAAGCAGGGAAAAAAAATGTACCACTGACACAAACTGTTTCTATTCATGTTTGGGAAGCACACAGACAAGAAGAAAAGATAATTGGCTGAGAGAAACAAATAAAAACGGTATTTTCTTGCTTTACCTTCTATATTTAGAACACAATAGTGTTAATCAAGATATAATTATAAACTATATCTATTAATTCAGACAATAGAGGCCAATACAAAAGTAACAAACAGTGAATAATTCATTTTTTCTCGGTGTGGGATTGTTCCTGTTCACAATTACTCTTGCATAGTGTGCCTCACTTGTAAAATTGCTTTTTCTGAGTTTCTTTATTAGGATTTCAGTTATTGATAATGGTCCAGATTCTTCCTTGAATTCCAGCCAAACAAGCCATTGACTTCAGGGAGGCTGCATGAAACTGAGGAGAATCTGGCAGAATGCTTTGTAGCCAAATTCCAGTGGTTAAATAAGTCTGCTTGTTCATTTGATATGTTTATAAATGAAACACATAGGTCAAGCTTTCAAAGGTCTCTGAAGCAGTTAAATGCCTTGCTCACCTGGAAAAAAGAAACCCAGAGCTGTGTGTGCAAATCATTTGATTGTATGCTATTTGCCAGGGTGTGCATGCAAATAGATTTATTTAAGGTATACAAGCAATTTGTTAGGCTTACATCTGGCTTTTGCAGTATTTGGTTTCTTTTGTATAAAAATTAGGATCAGGAAATACTTTTCATTCTAATTGTTGTTATTGTTTTGATAAACAAAGTGGGGCAGGGCTCTTTTCTTTATTTCCAGATATTTGGGTGCACAGAGCTCTGTCCTCACCCTCCCTCACTCCATGCATTTCTGTTGCTGGGTTATCTAGTTTTTCTTCAGCAGCCACAGCTAGGCAGAGTAGCATCATTTATCACTATACAGAGTCTGTTTTAAGTTTTCTGTTTCTGTTCCAAATATAAATCTCTGGAATAGCACGGTCTTGCATGCATCAGGCAGTTGTCCTACTGAAATAGCCCTCAGTGGTCTTTCTCAGCATGCAGTGTCTTTGAAGATCAAATAAGAAAGGTCAGTCTTTAAGTAACTTAAGCAATGATGTTATCGTGAAAGGGTCAGAATTGCTCTAGCAGCCTTAGAGGAGAGTGACTCCTGGGTCAGCAGCTCCTGTGCTGCAGGTTAGTGCTCTGCCTTCCATTGGTGGTGTTTACAACTGGAACTCTCTATATTTATGGGCATTGTGACTTGAATGTCACATGCTGTCTTTGTACAGTAGGCTCTATTTTGGGGAGGTGAGTGATTGATGTCCATGGCTTTATCCAACACAGAAGGCTGTTTCTATTATGCTTCCCATGCTTATCCCATCTCCTTTCATATTTGCTGCTTTAGTAATAAGAGTCTAAACCCCCTGTTTTGTGTGACATGTGCACATTTAATGGCCTCAAAATATTTCAGTAGGTGGGAGGCAAAATTTCTGCTTCTTAGGAAAAGTTGAATTTAGTATAATGAAGCTACTTCATCCACTTGATAGTCCTCTTGTAAGATATCCACAAACAATTTTGGAAAGGATGCTTGTCCCTGGTATGGGAACAGGAGAGACAAAAGGAGGTGTTTTCTAGGAGCATTTTTTGTGTGTATTAATGACTGGAAGAGGACTGTGAAGCACAACTGTTTCAATCCAGAAATTTAACACTCTCCATTTCTGGAGTAGTCTTGGAAAGAGTTGTGCATGAATGAATCTTTGAGAAAGTTGTGGTTTTTACAGTGAATTAATTTTTTTAAGAACATGCATGATTTATAAAACATTTTAAAATGTTATTTTTGCTTCTATTTTATAAAATTTGTCTTCACAGATAAGATTTCAGGTGTTTCTTGTGGCACTATATCAAATTTGAAGTCCATTTTGAGGAAAATAAATCTCTTTTCCTTTAGCCTGATCAACTCTGTAGTCTAAATTTGTAGCAATTATTTTTTAGTATAATTGCTGAAAATTCTTTCTCATGAAGTCTAAGGGTATATAACAGTCTGCCTCATAAATATGTATAAATAAATATATATAAGCCTTATATCACAGAGGCACTCAGAGGTTTTTAATTATGTCACTTTGTATGGCTATAGACATTTCAAAGCTTTCCTTTGTGCTTTCTGTTATAAACATATTTTATTTCTTTTGAAGTCTGTGTGATATACATACTAGCAATTAAAAACCCAGCTCAGGCTTTGAGACACAAGGTCTTCTTAATTAAAACTCAAACAAAAGCTAC